TAAGATTTATCTTTTCATCAGTTATTTATAATAACTTCACTTTTCTGTATAAAAACATGACAAATCTTAAGACTTGTTAAAATTCTGTTAAGTATCTGTCTGTGAGTTTATGTTCAATCTGATAATATAATTGTATCTGACTTAGTCAGCTGATTACAGTATCATTTTTTCAGTTATTATTAAAGCTTAATAACTTAGACAGATCTTCTGACTTAATATATTTCATACTCAGATTCTTATTCTGCACAGCAGTCTCTGATAATATGTATACTTCTAAAGAGATTATAAACAATTATGATAAGATCTTCAGATTCAGTGTAGTCATCTATCTGTATAATCATTCAATCTCTCACTGTAGATCTAAGACCTGATTTTCTCTATTCTTATTAATGATAATGATTGTATCAGCAAAGCTCTTTATAGTGAATACTTAATCTGCTGTGAATATTAATTATTGTTTAACTTCTACCTTAGCCTGTTACTATGTACACAAGATCTCAATCTTGTTTAGAATTCTCATATATATACAGAGCTTTGATTCTGATTCAGCAGTTTTAACTACTTTTCTTACTACTTTGAGTAAACTCTCTGAGAGATTCTGTATATCTTTCAGTTCAGATAGCAGAGAAGAGTATTATTTATATTAACTAGAGAAGATATTCATTTCAGTGATTTCTTATTGATTATATAATATCTATTATTATATTACTATATTATTATATAATTTCTATTATTATTATACAACTTCAGTGATGATTATTCTTTCTTTTTATTCTTCTTTTAAGTAGAGAGTGAACTTCTTTGAATCTGATTCATCACTCTTATTCTCTTTCTCACATCTCATCTGTTCACATATGTAACATTCATCTGAGTGTGAAGTTTTCTCTCAATAAGTAAAGTAGTATTAATTAAATGCTCTTTCACTTATCACTCTTTATACACTATCTTTTAAGATATTCTAGAATCACACTGACATAATAACTATGAATCACTTCATAGACAGAATTATCACATTCTGAAGAAGTCTGCACTTCTCACCAGTTTTTAGACATGCTATCAGATATGATTCAAAGATTGCTTCAGTCAGTGTATGATTACAGGCATACACTGGCTTCTTATATATCATACACTAAATTAATTAGTGGCCGCTATGGCCTCTTTACATTCATAAGCAACTTCGGAAGCGGCCGTGTTATTATTCAATAGTCGTACATTCTTCCGAATCACATTTTCAACAAATAAGTACTATGTTATAATATTATATAAGTGAGAAATGATTTCATAGTCTCATTTAATACTATTCTCAATAATGAGATCAGATTGAAAATGTGACTAAGAATTTAAATATATTCTTTATCTGAGACTAGATTTTTATTTGAAAAGTGAATCTGAGATCTTTAATATTTAAAATAACATGATTTGAGCTTAATGTGATGAATACAAATCATGATCAGAAGTAATACTTTTAGACAATATAATAACTATAAAGTTTAATTCTAGTCTTAGACATGGTCACACGGTCAGTCTAGCTGAGCTTATAAGTCAATTTCAAAGATAAACTTATAAAAGCTTTTATAGATTGTAATTCAGTAGATAATCTTAAGTAATTATAACTTAAGAAAGTTTCTTTTCAGTTTGTAAGTATCTCTAAAGATTATATCTAGAGACTCAGTTTAAGAATATTTACAGATAGTAAGTATTTCTTATAGAGAAATAGCTTAATTTTATAGAAAATACTCAAGAATATTCTTCACTAAGATTAAATTATTTATAAGTTCAGAGAATCTCTCTGTTATAGATATAGAGAATAATGTTTTATAAGTAATTAATAAATTCTTTAAAACTTCTTTTATAAAGATTATTTATAATTTAAATAACTACTTCTGAGTATCTGTAGTAGAGTTTACAGAGATTGAAGTATATAAGTTTCTAATTCTTTTAGTTATAACAGATGATTACTGACTGATAGAGCTTGAAATGTAAGAATAAGTACTTACAGACAATTATTCAGACATTTGCAGCTTGATATAATATATACTAATAGCTACTAGAAGTATTTATAATAGAAAGATAAATATAGAGATTAAATATATAATAGTATTTAAGCTGAGTTATAAATAGTAGTCATGAACTTCAGTCTATATAGTTGTATCACGTGTGTAGCTAAGGGCCGCTAACTTTATTAATTATACAAGAGATAGAAATAGAGGTAAAGAGTCTATAAGAAGCAGAATTTCTTATAAAATAATAAATTTTACATATATAATTGATTTTAACAGATTATTTTAATGAATTGAGTATTTTTATATATAATTCTTATTATTTTAAGAGTGAGTATTAACTGTTACAATTATTATAGCTATTATCTGTAACAATCTTCTTAAATTATATAATTAATTACTATATTAAGCTTTTTATAAATGACTCTATTAATATAACTTTCAATTATTTTACAAAATATTTATATTCTGAGCTGAAATTTTCTAATCCTCTATATTTAAAATTGATAAATATATATTAATTAGCTGAAAAAGTACTTACAGCAGTTCATAGTAATAAATGTATTAAATGAGTATTTTATACTAGTGTTACAATGAGTATATATTACTGAAGTCTGATACTAATTATATTAATAAATATTAAAAGTTTATATGAAATAATAACTTATATCAGTTAAAAATTCTTGATTTTAAGACAGTTTTTACACAGTGTATATACTTAGAGTTTTCAGAGAAATTTATATTTAAAAATCTCTATACTCAGAGACTTTTATATCTGAAAACTCTATACACAGAGATTCTTTACTCAGAACTCTATACACAGAGACACTTTTATTTATATATCTGAAAGTTTTCATTATCAGAGATGAGAGAGAGATCTGTGAGATAAAGCTTATAATCTGAAAGCTAAGACTGATTAAACTATATATAGTAATACACTAACTAGTTCAGACCTAGTTCAATTGATGCATGATTCTAAAATCAGTATATGTGAAATTAAGCCTTTACATTAAAAAACATTGAAAAAAGCCTTTTAACACATTTATCACTATAGACGTAGTACTAGAAAAATCCTGAGAACTGATTCAACTGAAAGTTCTCAGATAGATGTCATGGTCTCTGACTGTATACATCTATAATTGAAGAATAATAATAATATATAATATTAATATGACTTGTCTGTGACTTGTCTGAATCGAGTTGAATTGAGAAAAAGATAAATACCACAAGTTGAAGAGAACCAGTACACCATAGAGGCATGATGAACCTGCCAGCCACTCAGCTGGAGAACTGGAGTTTGATTCTTGTTACTTCATCTTCCTTCTAGTAATTAGTAGTAGTGAAAGAGGCGCCCAAGCACAGTGCTGAGGATCAGCAAATTCCCACACAGAATGAATTCATTAGTACAAGCCGATTTAACTCCTTCTAGCGCCCGATGATGTCACACAAAAAAGCAAAGGGTCTCTGTTATTCCCGCGAAATGAAGGGGGAAAATGAATGGCAATGGGTTGTGCAGATTCCATACACATTATTAATGCATTACTACGCGTATGTTCAAAGTTTCTATGTGCCCAATCGCAACTGCCAACCTGCCCGGGACAATCACTGAGGACAACTTATCTCTCTATCCCTGTGTGTGTTTGTTACTATTCGGAGCGGCAACTAGGCATACAACGGGCCCAAAGGTCAAAGTTCCAGGCTAAAGCCAGCACGGATGGGATGGGCGCCTTGGGGCTGTCGTATTCAGGCAGAATTGTGAATGGATTACTGGCCTGCCCAAGAATCCATCTATATGTCTGGGGCTCATGGTACCGCCCAGTTAAAGAGCTCCGAAATACGCCGCAAGAAGGCTCCCGGAGTCCGGTAGTTTCCCCCAGTTGTATTGCGCCGCTTTGTTCCAAGCTTCTACCTCGCTATCCTCCAATCGGTTCAAGACGACATTCTTGCCGCGCGCATAGATGGTAAGTTGAGTAGTTGACCATCAGCAGGTCGAATAGTTGTTTGGGTGCATTCTCGCCAACCTGAGACACTTTTGTGATTCTGAGAGCATTTTCCCCCTGGATCTGGTTCTCTCAGAGAGGTTCCAGTGGTTTGGCCGTTGAAGGTTTGCCCTCGTTCCAAGCGAGCCAAAGTTCGGAGCAAGAAGAGAGTTCAAGGGGAAAAGTCTGTCTTGAGCAGATTTAATTTTTAGTTTTTAATGTTTTTTTCTATCCTATTATTTTGTCCAGGTGAAATAGTTTGGGTTTTTTGGTAACTGGTTGCGCAGCAGTATATATGATCAGCAGATATGGTTGGTTATATGCGGGGTAAAGGAAGAGGCGCAGGGAGATATTCAATATTTGAAGTAGGAAGAAGCTGTATAGGAAATACCTAGGTATAGGATATAGATTAGATACCCCACAGACTGAATACCAATGATAGTCGAGGGAATTCGCCTGACAATAGCCGTTAGTTATCTATCTCACACGCTACCGCAGCGCAGAGAGCGAGGCTGATGCCAATAGGAACTGGCCCTCCTGGGCCATGCCAGCCCAAGCTGTCTTCGCCGTGCTGCTGGCTGCTGTGTCTGTTGGTCTGCTGGTTGGGTTGTTGGGTGTGTACGCTGTATTCTGTTTCTGTAGCTAAATAAGCTATCCAATAATAAATACTTATAAGAATAGTTGCCCGCAGCCGTGACCCGCGCCACCACCGCCCATCGCATATTATCACCACCGCCGCCGTCCATACCATACCCACCACTTGCTTGTGAACGACGACGACAACTGCTCCTCACCTCCACTACTACACCACGCTGGCTATCAAGCTAGTCACTAGGTTAACTAATTGTTCTTATCAATTCAAACGAAATTGGTTTCTTCTCTCATTCTCTTTCCCGGGTAGGTATCTCTTTTACCTCGAACGCTTCCCCCCCCCCCCCCCCGCGGACGACGACGACAACAAACAACGACAACGACAACGACTTCGACGACTAACATCAACCAACCCGCATCCCCCTACCGCCTAACATATCCTCCTCCTGCGCGCCACCCTCTCCCTCCTGTCCAGCTCCGTCGACTCCCTGAATCTTACCTCCCCTAGCCGTATTACGATCTCTCCACCGTGTTTCATCGTCCCGCGTGGCCGGTGCGTGCTTGGATCCTCACACAACCCCCACAAGGCTTGTGTGGGTGGCGCTTCTTTGTATCGCGATAGAACAAATCTAGCAGAGACAGAAGACGAGAAAGGGAATATATGTCTGACAAAAAGAGAGATTGATAGACAGAAGACAGACTCAATAAGGAATTTTCTGACGGTTGAAACGACTTTGCGCCTATAAGGAGATCGCTGGTTTTGCGCGCGACCAGCTGGGATCAATCGATCAATCAGACTGCGCCTTACAGTGTCAGGTCGACTATTCGTTCGTCGTATCTAGAATCTTCCTCTCTGACTCGCACCCTCTTTGATCGGGCCTCACCAGAGCAGCTGGATATTTCTATCTAACACAGCCGCAAGCAGCTTTTTGCTGTTCCCTGGCATTGTCATCCACTTTTTCCGCCCTTCCCCCCTGAAAATTACCATTGTTGCCGCACAAGGGACCAACATACTCCGTCGCCCGCTTCATTTACCCCCCTCCCTTCCACCCTCCCCTCCCCGTCAATAAACAGGAGCCATCCAGGTCAATCAAATAATAGTAGAACCTTGAAGCCACTCTTCTGCCTTGAAAAAACCCGGGAGCCAAGAGAGCCACTCTCCATCCTGGCTTGTCCGTCAAAATGAAGGTATGTCACTCGGAAAACCCCACTATTCCCACCCGACTTTTGCGACGTAAAATAAAATAACTGGAGGTCGATTTGCGCCGCGCCTCTTTGTCTTTGGCTTTTTTTGATCCCGTAATCGATTGTGGTTGGACTAACGACTTTCTGTTCTGGCTAACGTTAAAAATCTTTCTCCCCAAACAGGCTATCCGGCGCTCACTCAAGGGCGAAAAAGAACCGAAACCACAACATATCTCCATCACCCCAAAGTCTGCCATTGCTATTCTCCCACCAAAAAAGGTGAGCCATTTCTATTTTTATTTTCTTCCAGTTAAACATTGTCAAAAACTTTATGTCCTTAATTTTTTTTCCCCTCCCCCCCCAAAAATTAATCCTCATGTATCATTCCTATCTAGTTGTCGACTGCATTCCAACCAAACTCAAGAGACACAAGAATTATGCATGGTGTGGGCGCGAAATTAACAAACGCCACTAACATAAAACTAAAACTATTGGTGGTTATTCCAACATCTAGGTTATCAAAGCCCTTTATAACCACAGGCCCGAACCTGGCAATACGCAGGAGCTGGCTTTCAGCAAGGGTGATTTTTTCCATGTCATAAGCAGAGAAGACGACACCGACTGGTACGAGGCGTGCAACCCTCTAATCCCAAGCGCGCGGGGCCTCGTTCCTGTCTCATTTTTCGAGGTTATTGGCAAAAACGAGCGTAACAGTGGTGGGTCTGCGGGGAACCCCGAAGAATACAGTCAAGACCTGCACGACTCTGGATTTTCGGATCGCAGTCCACAACACTCCCGGTCAGACTCGACAAACACTACCAAGCAAGCCGCTCGCGCCAGGATGTCTGCCATTGGCAAGGGCTCTGGCGCCATGGTGTACGGCATTGTACAGTACGATTTCACCGCGGAACGCCCGGATGAACTCGATGCAAAGGCTGGCGAGGCCATTATCGTGATTGCCCAGTCCAATCCAGAGTGGTTCGTTGCGAAACCTATCGGTCGCCTGGGCGGCCCAGGCCTGATTCCCGTTTCGTTCATTGAGATTAGAGATATGACAACAGGCAAGGCCGTGGCAGACCCGCACGACGCTGTCAGAAAAGCTGGTGTCCCCCGCGTCGAGGAGTGGAAGAAGATGACGGCGGAATATAAAAACAGCTCTATCACCCTAGGGAAATTCGAGGGTGGAGCACAGGGTGCAGCAGCAACAGCGGCATCGGGAGACATTAGCAGAATGACCATAAATGGCAGCGATCCTGTAAGTTTTTACAATTGCATTCGAAGAAGCGGTGGAAAGCAGCAGATGTCAAGAACTTTTACATTAGTCGTGTACAGAGCATTGTGACTGACTGTTTTCATCCCTCTTCCGTGTGGGGGTAATGATAAATCTTAGTACCAACAACAGAGCCACAATTCGGGCGTATACTCACCGAACCAGCAACAATACCAGAACCAAGCATACCGACAATCTACCCAGAAGAGCCGCAGCAATCTCAAAATTTTTACCCCCCGGCCCTCGCGCCGGTTTCCGCATGCATCCCCCGATTCGACACCGATCACGATAAACACTGGTTTGTCATTAGGGCTAAAATGGAAGATGGACGGTATTGGGAATTGTCGAGATACTATCACGATTTCTACGACTTCCAGATTGCCCTCCTGAGAGAATTCGAGGAGGAGGCCGGCAACAAGGGGAAACCGCGGACTTTGCCATTTATGCCAGGCCCCGTCACGCATGTCACCGAAAAGATTTCTAGTGGCCGACGGCAGAACCTAGATGAATACATCAAGAAGCTATTGTCGATGCCCCCTCACATCTCCCGCTGCCAGCTCGTCCGCCAACTCTTCGCACCGCGCCCCGGCGATGTCGAAATCTTCCCGACCACCTCAGACGACTACAGACTCTCCGGCGGTTCGCAGCAATCCTCCGGCCACGTCCCTTCCCGATCAGAGTCAACCCATTCTACCTCCAGAGGCCATATAAACACGGGCAGCTACCCACCCGGCTCGATGGGACCTCCACCATCCTCACAACGCCAAGCGCAAGGGCACCCGCACCACCAGCAAGGACGCACGCCCTCGCAATCACAATCAAACGGCAACGGCAGCGTGAACCTCAGCCGCTCCGAGCTGCAAAACCAGATGATGAACCGGCAACAGAGTGCGATGACACAAACCTCGTCTTCCACAGAGTGCGATGACACAAACCTCGTCTTCCTCTACCACAGGCGCCGGCGCGATCAAGATCAAAGTCTTCTTCCAAGACGACCTTATCGCCATCCGCGTGCCTAGCGATATCAGCTACGCGCAGCTGCGTGAGAAGCTGAAGGACCGGCTGAAGCTGGGCGACGAGATTATGCTGCAGTATAAGGATGAGCCGAGTAATGGGTTTGCGGAGTTGTTGAGTGACCATGATTTGGATACCGCGCTACAGCGGAATGCGAAGCTTACGCTGTATGTTGGGCTTGCGTAGATGTGTTGGCACGAGGAGCAGTAGGAGTGTTTGGACGAGAATATATATTTTATATTTGTTTCTTTTCTTTTTTTCTTCTTCTTTTCTTCTTCTATTTTATGTTCTTTTCTTTTTCTTCTTCTTCTTTTTTTTTTTTTTTTTTTTTTTCTAGCACACGCCTGTGATCGTTTCTATGATCTGATCTTGCTGATTTGACGGCTTATTCCCCTTCTATTTCTCTTCTTTTCCAACTTCTTTTTTTGTTTTCTTCTTTTATTTAAACTTCTTTTTTTTATACTCTCTGACGGAAACGGAGCAACTAGCTGAGCTGCCGGAGACATCGTTGCTTGGATCTATTTCCCCCTCCAGTCCCTTTCTTCTTCCCTTTCTTCCTCTTCTTCCTCTTCCTCTTCCCCTTTTATATCCATTTTATATATCCTAAATATGACCCCTTCTTCCCATCTCTCTCCCTATATAATCCCCTCATCCTCCGACCTTTTTTCTTTTCCTTTTCTCTTTTTTAACTTATATCTACCTATCTATTTCCTTTGTTGTTCGCTCGCGCTATTTATATTTAACGTGGCCCCACTGAAAATACCAGGATATGTATCGGAAAAAATTGGGCCGGGACGGATGGATGGATGGATGGATGGACGGATGGATGTGCTCGATTGATATTGATCGATCGATTTGACTGAATGAATGTATTATGAGCCAGCCACGCCCTCCCTCCCCTTTGCGAAAAAAGGAAATGTGACATGATATGTTGTATGCCAGTTCGAGGGAAATTCAATCTCCGTTATATTATGGCTTTTTTTCTCACTTATTTCTTATTTCGGTTCCGCTTCATCCTTTTTCTTTGGTTTGCTCTTTTCAATCACTTTCACATCCACTGTTGGTGTGTGTGCGCAATGCTGTATTTTCTCTTTTTTCTGCATTTCTTTTATTCTCACCCCCCTTCCCCTTGTCTTTTTCAATATGTGTGCTACCCTCCTCTCTTATGATTTTTATTGTTTGATGGCCCCCTTTTGATGACCTTTTTTACCTGTGTTTTGTTATATCTAGCTTTGCTTTTTTTTGTCTGTTTGCTGAAACCTCTATAATATATTGTAAAATTGTGAAACTGAGCAAGCATCATTGATTGTCTCCTTTTTATTCACTGACTAACTAAAATCCTATCTAACTAGATGATGAGTTGGTAATGTTCAGTGACCTTGAATTTTGCTCGGTGGCGAGCTAGAAATGGCTTAAATATAATCCCTTCATACGATTTATATCGGGAGCCTTCGTGCAAAAGTAGGGGGCGAGGCACACAGTGACTGTATACTCTTCTGCCAACAAGTGTTGTGGAGTAGGAACTCTAGATGAGATAGTAGTGGCGATAGATTCTGCTCTCATATATCAGTTATCATGCAAAGATGAAAGGATCAGGGTTTGTTAATGTAATGTACATGTACACCCGGACTCCTGAAGAAAGAAACATTATCAACTTCACAGATGAGTGATGCAGAGCTTCTGAGTTGATCTTCAGAGGTCAATTGTGATAAGCTCAATGTTATATAACCCGGCTGAGATAGTTAGTAGAAACTGTAAATGGCTATCCTACTTTTCATCCATACTCTGACAGATATCTGGGCTTTCCTTATTGATACCACCATCCTTTTCTCATTGTTACTATCTCTATCTAATGATCATAGATCTGTATGTAGTTATGGGACAAGTTGTGTATCAACCTCGGTAATAATACTTCCCCACTAGCCGTAAGAAGACTAGCGTAGGTAACTAGTTTTCTTCTCGCCGCATTTCCCCCGAATCCCGTGACAATCTCGCCTTCAAGCAGATTCCGACATCTAAACCAACCTTCCATCTCAACCTCAAACAACCACTCTCTCGTCAATCCCTATTACACTGTTCTCATAGGCATCCATCTCGCTCTGAAATTAGCGACGTCTGCTCCGTCATTTACCTTATTCTGCCATTTTGCATAGCGCCGCGTGATACCAACTTTTTGCTTCAAGCCCGCCTCTGCCGATTCCCGGATCTGGTCCCCTCCCTCGTTCGATAACTACCTGCACCTTTTGACCGACCAGATTCCGCTCATTTGCGTGTGATTTACATAGCCATAGGGTTGCGTGTTCGATACCCCGGCGACGAGTTTATGAAATACAGAGTCCGTCCCGCATTTTAGAAAGTATCTATTCCTGATCGAATCTCACTAGAAGGGTTCCATTTTGCGTGTTATTCCTTTCGGTTCTTTTCTTAATGTCATTTTCGGAACGGTATACAGCATAGTATAAAAATCAGTGACGAGAGAAACGAAATACACACTTTAAAAGGAAAAGAGAGAGAGAGAGAGAGATACAACCGTTGCTGGAGGGGAACGAGAATGCGACCTCCACTGCGCTCCCGTCACCCTAGCCTGCTCCTCGCAGATGCGATCTTGTGCTCGCGCACTCGACTGCCAACGGTTGTCCGCGGGCAGTATGGTGGCATCATTTGTGCGGACTGCAGGAGGAGTATGACGGGTAGGCGGAGGGCCGGTTCTCCTTTGATGGTTACCCCGCCCCAGGCACGGCGATCTAGAATAGGATTGCCAAGGGATATCTCTCGGAGCGGTGGTCGACGACAGCAACAGCAGTATCAACAGCAGGTTAGAATGATCTCGAGCAGTCGGGCTGATGCTGCTGAGGTTGTAAATGGCGCGCCAAGCATGTCTGCTGCGGATGCGGGTAGACATCAGCTTTACGGGCCAATTCAGGAGTACGAGGCGCGCGTGCAGTCCGGGAGATTGAGGGATGATGCGCATCAGAGAGGTAATATATATATCTCTCTTTTCCTTTTGCTTCGCCCTCTTTAGTTATTGGATTCTTTATACCTGCCTTTTCCCTTTGCGTCTTATAGGTATAAACCAGAGGAGAGAATATTCATTAACGATTATCCTTTTTCTCCTGATTTTGTCGTCGAACAGATATCATCCAGCATCTCCAAGACCTTCACGAGATGCTCCGCTCCTACACTCCACCAACCGTAGTCCGCCCAACTATAGAGTTCCTCGAAAACCCAGACCCGAAACCCTCATTCTTCAACACACTATTTGGCCGCACTCCGCCTCCACCAGCCACAACGCAGATTCCCTCTAATCTGCCCAAGGGATTGTACATGCACGGCGACGTAGGGTGTGGCAAAACTATGTTGATGGACCTATTTTTCGACACGCTGCCGGAAAACGTCACCTCGCGGCAGCGCATCCACTTTCATAATTTCATGCAAGACGTGCATAAGCGCCTGCACGTTATGAAAATGAAACATGGAAATGAATTTGATGCGGTGCCGTTTGTTGCGGCCGATATTGCGGAAGGGGCGAGTGTACTGTGCTTCGATGAGTTTCAGTGTACAGATGTGGCGGATGCTATGATTTTGAGGAGGTAGGACATCTTTTTCATTTGCCACTTCCCTAGACCTCTATACACAAAGTACTAACTATTTAACCAGACTCCTTGACTCCCTCATGTCCCACGGCGTTGTTCTCGTCACAACCTCCAACCGCCACCCCGACGACCTATACAAAAACGGCATCCAACGAGAATCCTTCATCCCCTGCATCACCCTTCTAAAAACATCCCTAACAGTCCTGAATCTCGACTCTGCCACGGACTACCGCAAAATCCCGCGCCCACCGTCAGGCGTCTATCACCACCCGCTCGGCATGCCCGCCGATCATCACGCGGACAAATGGTTCGAATACCTAGGCGACTTTGCCAATGACCCACCACACCGCGCCGTGCATCAAGTGTGGGGGCGCGATATCGAGGTGCCGCTGGCAAGCGGCAAAGCTGCGCGATTTACGTTTGACCAGCTGATTGGGCGGGCAACGGGGGCGGCGGATTATCTTGAGCTGATGCGGAGTTATGAGGCATTTATTGTGACGGATGTACCTGGGATGACGATTCGGCAGAGGGATTTAGCAAGGCGTTTTATCACCTTCATCGATGCGGTTTATGAGAGTCGGGTGCGTCTATTATTATACCTGCCCTTCGTTTTAATAAATATTTGTGACTTCCTTGTTGTTGGCTGGCAGAACTAACATCGATACAGGCAAAACTCGTCCTCACCACCGCTGTCCCGCTATCCAATCTGTTCCTTTCTGACGCGGAACTTAAAGAATCTATTGCTGAAAATAACAAATCATCCGAAAACGGTACCAACAACCAGGATGAAGTGCCTGAAAATCTCTCAGACTCTATGCGGCATCTCATGGATGACCTGGGCATGTCCATGTCCGCGCTTAAATCCAGCTCCATCTTCAGTGGCGACGAGGAGCGCTTTGCCTTTGCGCGAGCGCTGTCGCGGCTCGCCGAGATGGAGGGGAAGGATTGGGTGGAGCGCGGGTTGGGGATTGGAATGGATACGAAGGCGGGGGAGGGGGATAAAGCGGCGTGGGATAAAGCGCGGAGTCGGTGGAGAGAGGATAGTTTGTGAGTTTTATTTTTTTTTCTTTATTAGGCTGGGAGGATGTATATAGAATATGTCTGTATGTATGTATGGCTTCCTATTCTTCTTATCCATGCATTTTTGGAGGGTGATATACCTAGAACGTTTATTGTTTTGTTTAGCTAGATACATATATATGTATATTTTCCGAATGGGGGTGAGTTTTTTATTCCGAGATTGATGATGATGACAACTAAAATGATACTCGAGAACTAATTTTCAAATAATTGAATGATAGGGGATTCCTATTTTATTATCATTCACATGATAATAAGAGATTCTCCGTTCGTTTCATCATTGATACCAGTTACCTTTTATTCCCTTTCTTATTTTCTTTTGGAAACCTTTCTCAGTTTCCTCTTTCGCTTTCCTTGTTCCCCTCTCCCTTGTGAAAGGTGAACAGGTCCTGCGTAACATATTGTCCTACCCAGCAATATGTATATATATATAAACCCGCACTATTCTTTCTGTCCATTTCTTTTTGACTTTTGCCATTTCCTCTCCTTTATCCCCCTCTCTTGATCCTCTGAACTCAGTCGCACCCGTTTTCTCCCAACCAAGCTCAGAATCGAATGGCAAAGTTGTTTCCGTGCCGATAACGCTCACAGCATCGCATCTATACTATAGGCCGAGAGTATAAACTAGGCAGTCGGCTCTAGTGTATGCATACATACCTTTTCTCCGGGAACCCCCTGACCGCGCCAGCATTTTCAGTTTTCATACTTTTCCTACCGCCAGAAATTTTCCATCCAGGATTTTCTTACCCAACCTTCACCTATATGTTTTTCCAACGCTCGCTAACTCTCGGTTAATATTGCGGCGAGGGAAACGAGGGAGTCTGACGTTGGAAATGCCGCTTTCCAATCCGTGTGACATTCAGATCATCATGAAGTGGAGCGGCAGTGCCCTCCGTCTACAAGGCCCACTTGTTTGCGAAAGACAACGGTTAACAAAGTTTGCTCTAGCTTATTGGCTTATTGAGAAAGATAGCGGGTAGCTCCTATAGCTCCTTACAGACGGGGCCCCAGCGAATGATATGCGACTGGGCATGAAGCCGCAGTACGTTTTGATATCCGGCTCAGACGTGAGGACGGTAATTTCCCTCTCGCTCGGAACCCTTCGTGAAGGGAAGTGTGGATGACTTCCGTGCTTGTGAATTCGATAGCTTCATATGCCCACGAGTATGAACTATAAAAGCCGCATTCTTCTTTGTATCCTCCGTTTGCTTTTCTTTTCTAGTTCAGCCTTCCACCTTGTTCCACACTCCCACCCACTATCATGCTACGGCATTCAAAACCAAACCTACAAACGTCGTCATAAAGGCTCCAAGAGAAACTCAAAGCTAACCTCAATCCACATCAACCTCTCTATACGGATCTACCACTACTTGCTATCTAGATATACCTCCCACTCCTCCGTTGGAATTTACACCTACATGCATACACCGAACTATAAAAAGCGCATTTAGTTCGATAGCTCAAACCATCTTACATCAACCCAAACGCTATCCACAAAACCCTCCTCGATTTACCTAGCCTTATTCCCATACCTACCTTCGACCCTACGGACCACCATGTGCCTCGTATATGCCGTCTACGCCGGCTGCGGCCATAAAATAGGCGGAGAGATTGAGCCCTGTCCCTACGCGCGATACCCCGACGCATGCGCAGAAGCTAAAACAGAAGACCGGAAAGTTGAAATTATGTGCACGCGATGTCGCAAGTATTATGGCTGTGACTATACAGAGCGACTGAAAGACCGGACACCGCCACCGAAGGCTGCGGAGTATAAGGAGATCGAACCCAAGGAAGCGGCGCCTAAGAAAGCTGAATCTAAGGAAGCTAAGAACAAGGAAGGCGAGGGCAAGGAGGCCAAGAGCAAGTGAGAACAGCTAGCCATGTGCAGGGCGCTCTGAGGGCCATCTACGGCGTTTATGAGAAGGGGATCCCTGCAGTATAAATTTGTGTCTATATGCGCGAAGGTTAGGAAGAGAATGTCTGGTATATGCTAGGGTAAAGTGATGAAACAGCCGATTTGGGATATGATGTGCTTTTATTTGCTTCGATTTCCTGCAACATCTTATTTAGTGTATGTAGTCCTAGTATACCAGTCTATCCTTGAAGTAATACTTTGCTTTGAAGAACGGAACTGAGAAGAACTAAACTGGGAAGTTCCGACAAAGCCCTCCCTACCTACTAACTGTTCAAAATTTGACTTTCGCATTTGTTGCATCAAAAATGGCACTCTTCTTTATTATGCCGAGCTTTAATTGTAGCAGACAGCCCTACCACATATAAGTAATCATCATCTTCATTCTCAACCTATCCAAAGCAAGCAAATTTAACAAGCAGAGAATCAAATTCCCGAAAAGGTAGGTATCTGTGAAAGCAGAGAGATGAACACGTAAAGATGAACAAACTGTTACTCTTTTAAAAAAAGAAATCAAAAAACTAACCACCAAACAAAAGAGAGAAATAATCAAATGAATCCATTCCAAACCCAGAGAGTATATACTAATTACAGCGCAACCAACCATGAAAGAAACCATAAAAGTTACAAAGCCAAACAAAAAGGAGTCAGTAGAGAATAAGCATTCCATCAACGTATACCTACATAACCATGAACAAGAAGATCATCTATCATTAACTATAAACATTTCACCACGAAAACCCAAGGCGGGGAGGGGGGTCATTATCGAAATAATCAGGGGCAAGAAAAGAAAAAAAAAAAAAAAAAAAAGAGAGGAAAACATATACATGAAAAAGACAAGAAATCATCCACTAACCTTTTCAGAGCAAATGGAAACGAAGAAAGCAGGGGGAAAATTAAGAAAAAATCTCAAGACCCTCATCTCCAAAATCTCAACTTTCCCGCCGTCCTCTTCACCGTCCATCCCGCCTCACTCGCCCAATCACTAAGCGTCTCCCCTACACTCCTCCCCGCAGACGTCCGCCCAACAGAGCTTCCCGCCCCGCTAGACCCCGCACCAGCACTACTAGCCCCAGCGCCCAAAAACCCACCACCATACCCATACCCCGTCCCCCCCGCCGCCTCGAACTTCATCTTCCCCTCCATGACTTGATGAACAAGATTCAACATGGCAAACGCCCCGGACCCCAGCGCCCGGAATAGCGCGAGGCCCGCAACACTCCACAGCACAAAGGCCAAGTACCCGTTGTTCCCTGCCGATTTCTCCGTGAAGGACTCCGACACCGCCATGGCCAGGATCGCGTTCGCGACAACCCATACCGACACCATGTACGTGCGCACGGCGCGGTAGTAGTCTTCCTGCATCTGCGCCTCTGAGAGCTCGGGCGGGGCCACCTCGAGCCGGTCGCGTAGGTTCCGTAGCGCCTCGTCGTAGCCGCTGTCGATGTCCAGTTGCTCCGAGGGCATTTCCAGCTCGACAGTGGAGGAGCCCGTGGTGCGCGCGGCGCCGAGGTCGGTGTGGATCATGTTATCGCCCTTGGTGCCCCACGTGACGTCGTGGGTGTTGCAGAAGGCATAGACCTGCAAGGTGCAGATGTAGCTAGGGAGTAGGGCGAAGTATTGCGCTGACGAGGTGAACATGTGCCAGGGATCGAGGTAGAGGAAGGACATGAAGAAATATAGGCCGACGGTTGAGAGGGTCGAGACGATGATGTTGGTGAAGGTATTGTTGCCCAGCTTCAGCCGTTCTTCGAGAGGTTGGTCACTGAGCTTTAATTGGGTCACCACCATATACAGAGCGGAAAAGACCGTGTACATCATTATTATACAATAGACAACCATGCCGGTCATGAACATCTTCTTGGCTCTGAAAGTATTGTTAGCTGCGTGGCTGAAGGCTCAGGAGGAAAGCAGGGAGCAGCTGTAAGTCTCATACCCTTGGGGTCGATTACCCATCGACAAGATGAACTGCAGGCAAATAAGAAGTACACAGGCATATCGCAATATTACAAATATGTACTTTCCGATATTATGCCCGAACGGGTCATTGGTAGGGTCCGATAATGCACCAGCAATGAAGTAAAAAGTGAGATAGAAATTTGCCTATAGGTCAAATAGGAGGTGAACCAATTAGTTATAGTCCGTTGGTACGTAGCGAGAAGAAGTATCCCGCACTTGGTGACCAACTTACCAAAGAAAAGAAAGTAAACGCTAAAGAAACAAACTGATACACAAATTCGATATGTAATAGGATTTTCCTCGGAATTGTATGGTCTGTCCGCCAAATTTGCCGGAAATGAATAAGCGAATACACTGCCGCGAAGAAGGCGCCATTGAGCCATCGTCGTCGTTGGGAGATGAACTCAGGCACAGAATCTACACAAAAGATTATGAGCTAAAATGTAGAGAACACCGTTGGTGCCAACGATCGGATAGGGAAAAAACAGGAAGAAAAAGAAAAGAAAAAGAAAAAGAAAAGGGGCAACATACCCGGAACGTCAGTCTCCCCAACTGCACTTTTCACAAACTTCAAAACCCATTTTTCCTCACGTTTAGCCACCAACTCCCAACACAGAATCCGATCCTCCGCAAGGTACATGTTGGCAGTAAACACATCCGCGTTCTTCCCGTGAAGCATCTCCCCCTTGAAATACTGACTCAACGGCCCATGGCCCGTACTATCATTCTGTAGGGCATGGTACCGGTACGCGCTCAACGCACCGGGTAGCACGGTAATATATCCAAAAACTGACTCGAGCGGTTTATCTAGGATATTCGACATTTTATATTCGAAATTCTGCGAGGCAACCAGCGGGTTAAACAAGCCCAGCCACCCTTTACCCTTGCCAGCTTTAATCTCCCCAGCAGCGCCCGCGACATTTGAGTCTTGATCAAACGCTTTCCAGAGATGGTATAGAGCAGTGGGCGCCGGCTTCGTCCCAACGTCAAGAAGAATGCAGACGTTGGGGGTCAAGGCGCGCCCGAAAGCGTTGAAGAACCATCTGTGCGAATTCAGTTTCTTCTCATTGCGCTCCTTCAGACAGAAGATGATTTGGCAGGGCATTATCCCCTTCTCTGCACCTTTGAATTTAAGATCCGGGTCTAGGGAGACCTGAGTGGTGTATTCATAAACGTGTGCATTGACTGGCTTCTGGTTGACGATGTTCTTGGCGATCCCATCCTGATAGACGCCCATGGCTGCAAGAGCATTCAATGTGCGCGGGTGTACTTTTTGTCTACCATCAGCAATGATGCACACCACAATCTTCTGCCAACCATCTTTACCCCAGGTTCGCGATTTTGTTCTGGAACAAAAATGGGTGATATTTCGCATGATACCGTGCATAGTACGGGTGAAGTGGATTTCATTTTCATTGTACATGGTCACGCAGACGAATAATTCCGTTTCACGTATCGTGCTGCCGATGTTTTGTCGTAGCTTATACCCCCTAACAGTAAAATCATCCGGATCGCAGGTGACAGCCGTGTATCTCATATGTGTGAATTCGCGGTCATCGCGACGGGGAAGGAAGCTGTGTAAGATTGTGGGGATTTTACACTCCAAGATCAACTCTCCGTTGATAAGCCGGACTTCCTTCTTCGTCATTTGCGCCTTGCGCACTCCTCTCCGCTCCTGACGTCCAGCTGGCGCAGGGCCATAATGAACATTCAGATTTGCCTCCTCATCCTCATCATCGTCCAAGTCAACCTTACTCATTACGTCTTTTTCATCCGTAACAATAGTGGAGTCGGTGACATAGGAATCAAATGACTGAACACTTGCACGAGTATCGTTTCTCTGATTTATCGATCTCCCTCCACCACCAAAAGGATCGTCCACATCATCGTCACCACCTCCGTCGGCAATATCAATACTTCTATCACCACTAGTTGACGCCGGAACCCCAGTGAACAACGGGGCTGGTGGCAGTGGCCGTCGCGGGCTGCCGCCATACCTCGAACTGGGAGTTCCTGGTCTAGGGCTTCCATTGATATCTGGGGGTTCATAATTTACACTGGATACACTCGGGGGAGCTTTTTGTCGCGACCACTCCGAACCTCGCGACGGAGTCCAGGGCCGTGTTGGGGAACCTGATCGAGGAGGAAGATGGAGGCCGTCCACCACCACAGAGTCTAACGGCAACATACTGGGCGCTTGGCCAAGGCTTGACGACGGGCGGGAGGGAGGGAGGGATGAGGTGGAGGCAGATTGTTGATGAAGTGGATGATATCGCTGCGGCGACTGCCGAACCATAGATATAGGGCTTCTAATGTGTATATTGTCAGTTAAAATATCCGATTTGGATTGTTCACTGCTAGGAAATTGCTGGGCCTTTAGTTGCTTTTCAAGGGATGATAGTGTAATCGATTTGGTAAGCCCATCTACGCGCTTGGGTAACAAATGGGCTGGGGGTTTAGGGGAGGCAAGACGGAGCGGCTCGGGAACCATATCTGAAACCCGAGGTTTTCTGCGACATATAGTCTTCGTTCGTCCCAGGCCACCCTGGATCGGACTCCGTTCTTGCTCAAGAGACTTGTCCTTCCAGGTGACGCGCAACTGTTTCTTGCATGTAGGGGGAATTGTTGGTAGGTCTAACGCCTCACCAGCAGGCGCCATTGAGAGGTGACTGAGACGAGGGGCTGGGCCTGATGGAAGAATTCCCTTATCTTGGGTTGGCTGAACGCTATCTTCGGTGCTTTTTCCTTTTACCATGGCGGAGCGTGGGAATCCCTTCGCTGAAGTAGAAGTTGGGATACAGATATTGAAAGCAGGAGAATCGTCCCGCAAAGTTACATACTGTTGACGCGAAAGCGGATTTTCGCGCTTTCTAAATCTTCTTGCGCTCCCCAGATCAGATGCGTCATTTCCACCGTTGCCTAAATTGCTCTCGCCGGACGGCAAAAGTCTCATGGACGCGGCATTGCCTCGTACAATCGTGGGAGTTGATGTTGTCATATTATCGCCGCTAGCATCGATAACAGAGGGTTCGCCGGGGTAGGCATATGATGGGGGGTCTTCATCGTACATCGGGGGCGCGGGCCGGTCGTGGGGGGATGTGAACGTATCCATTGTTGACAATCTAGACCTGTGTCGCCGTAATTGCCCGGCGTTTTCCAGGCGGGGGGGAAGGTTTCTAGTTATATAGGGTATTCAAAATTCTGCCACCAGACACTGAAGCATGCGGTTTTAAGCAGACAAGATGTTATGAACGTTTTGTATACTATATTCTCACGTCGCGCAATTTGGTGACGAGTGATTTTGTGGAATGGGGCGGTGATAGGTAGGTATCCAGGCAACGCAAAGGCGCAACGATGGAGTCGTTCGTCGCAGCGAAATGCAGCTGCTGCGGAAAGTTAGTTTTGATCGTTTCGACTTAGAAACAAGGGAGGCATGATGGTACCAGAAGCTGGCCACGCCTAATGCGTCAATCGCATCAGCCGCTGGCGGGGGAGTAAATCAAGCTTTTGCCCGTGATGTATATAACTCGGAGTAGTAGCGAGTAAGAAATTGGGTTACAAATATCAGAAGAAGTCACGCTCCCAAAAGAATGTGCCAGTGGTGTATAACAAAAAGGTGTGCAGCTAAAAGAATAACCGCATAGATAAGACGGCAGAGCGTGGTGCCAGGGACGGACGGTGGGATGAGTTAAGATAGAGGAGAACGGACGAGAGCAGCGATGTCACGTGTTTTTGTTTGTAAATTCGTGGTTGCTGTGACAACGGCGCTAGTGCGGCTGACTAACAAGCGCTTTGTTCCTGTAGCGGCCCCACCTCGGGGGGTTGCCACAGCGATCGCCTCGCCTGCCCCTGCTAACTAATGACAATTCTGACGTCATCTTGGCGCGATCAGGATCCAACTGCCGGCGCGATGTGGGATGGAACCATGGTAGCGGTAGTTAACTATTTATTATTATTGGACGTTTCAGGCTCAGAGCCGGAGCCAGCCGCCCTGAGTAATGTTCTTTTGAACTGATTGATCTGTTGCGATGGACATATCATATGTAGTTAACTATCAAACCAAAAACCTCCTCTCTCCCCTTAATCCCCGGCCAATAATCAATCAACACCTGCCTGCACCGCCCACACGGACTCATAACCAGCTCCGCGCACGGCCCGCCCGTGAAGTGGAGACGTTGTCGCCGGCGCTGACGACGGCGTGGTCGTCTTGGGGTGGGAGGAGGGCTAGGAGGGCGTTGGCGGCGATGAGGGGGGGGGTTGGGGGGCCATTTTCGTCTTTGTATTTTTTTTATTTTTTTTTTCCTTTATTTATGTCTCTGATGGGAGTGCGGAGTGGTTATGTGGTTGGTGGTTTTGTTCCGTGCTGCCTTCAGATGTTCAGAGACCGCAGGGCTGAAGCCTGGGTGCAGGGGGGCGTCAGTCTCTGTATCGAGCAGTAACTAAATAGCAACTCACGCGTAGCGTATACCGAATATTTCTTATGCAACATCAATGATGGTAAGAAGTTAACTGTAAACAGCTATCTATGAAATAACCTCACTATGAGAATAAATAATTCTTAATTGGGGTTTTTTTTAAGCGCGTGTACATGTACTAACTACTCAGAAACACATAGATACACATATACAAAGTAACGTGACTCACCACCCTCTTGGAGGATAACGTTGTTGTGTTGTAATCTAACTACGCGAGTTACACTAAATGGATAGGTTGGGGTGGCACGTGACTAGGGTAGGTGTAGTAATCACCAACACCCCCCCTTGCTACACCGTGGCCTATAATAAGCCGCCACCCGGGGCCTCCCCCATCCTCAAATCTTTCAAAAATGCAATAATAATTAATTACATGAATCAGATCCTGATTTCCTCATTAGGAAAGACATCTGTACAGCAATAACTGTAAAAATCAAGAAATACATATAAAATCCATTGATCCGCTGTATCATCATTACCATTCAATCATTCCTTCTTCTCAATTTTCTGAATACCAACCCTCTTGACAAATTCTTCAAATGCAGGCTTCATCAGTGACTTGGTGAGCTCATCAGCTATATTCACTGTAGAATCAACATGTTCCATCATGATTTCCTCTTTTTCAATCAAATTGTGAAGAATATGATATCTAATCTTGATATAGTGTGATCTTCATGTTAAGAATTCTCTCTTTGCTAGATTAATTGCTCTCTTATTATCAACTTATAGATGTGAGTATATTTTCACTTTTTCATCATTCATCAACCTGATGTCATATAATATATTATTCAATCAGATTATCTCATAAGCTATCTTACTAGCTGTAATATATTTAGCTTCTGTGATTGATTTGATAATAGATATCTGTCTCTGTAACTGCTATGAGATCAGTGACTCATTAATCAATATAATATAATCAGTAGTCAATTTGTATTGAGAATTCATCTCTGCTCAGTTCAAATCACAGTATATCACAGAACTCAGATTCTTATCACTGATCTTCTTTCTGTATAATATGTCATGATTTTTCATCTTCTTGATATAATGTAGAATATGCTTCAACACTGCTCAACATACTTTGTATGAATATGAGTTAAAATACAAGAGATAGTTAACTGTGAATACTAGATCTGATCAGCTGCTTGAGACTAAATACTACAATAATCTCAATTCTTGATAATATCTTATAGCTGTAAAGTCATCATTCAATTCATCATTTTTATCAGATAAAAACTTCAGTTATATATCTATCATCATTGAGATCTCTGCAGGATTCATCTTATTTATACTGAAATCTTCAAGAATTTTCTCAATATAATAACTCTGTGTAACTGCTAAATCATTATTTCTCTGATATTTAATCTTCATTTCAAGATATAACTTAATCTCTTCAATATTCTTTATCTTAAATCTCTTTATAATCTCTCTTAATACTCAGTCTAATTGCTGTTCTTGAGATTCTGTCATCTGATAATCATCAATATGCAATATTAGATAGATCTTATAAACAGAGTGATATAGAAATTCATTATTATAAGATAATATCTTGAATCTTAATATAATAAGATGTTCTGTTACTAGAAAATATTATATTCTCACAGCTTGCTTTATTTTATATAGACTCTGATAAAGTAGTCTTATCAAGCTCTCTCTATTATACTTAATATCTGTGAATAGTTATATATAGATCATCTCATTCTGTGATAGTATATCATTCAAAAACATAGATATATAGTCAATTGATTTAATCTTTCATTCTTTGACAGTTAATATAGTAAATAGACTATATAATATAGGCTCTGATATCACTGCAGTGTACAATCTCATATAATAAATACTCTGCTATTGTAAGAACTCTCTAATCACTTAGTAAGCTCTAAAGTGAATAATTTCTCTCTTATTATTGAATTTCTGATCATATATTTATTTATCTGTAAGAATATTCATTTCTGAGATCTTTTCAATAATAATATATATCTTCTTCTATTCAAATATCTTAATCTTCTTTTTCATTGTCTCATGTTAATAGTCTCAGTCTGAGCTTCTCTTGACTTTCATTAGTGTAGTTAATCAGTCTGTCAGAATACTTAGAACAGAATCATTCTTATTAACAGAGTCTTTGAACTCTTCATTCATGATAAGCTGTATCTTATTATTTAGAAGATAGATTGAATTAATTGCACTCTCTAAGTTCTTATTAACAATTATCTTCAAAATATCTGACTTTTTCTTCACTAGATGTTATAGTAAGTAGTGCTGTTATTTCTCTCTGATATTCAGAATATTCAATTCATTAGATAATTCATTGAATTCTCTCACTGTATTTACAGATGTATTTGCACTCATGTCAAGAGCTTTATTAAATATGATATCTCATGCAATCTTAAGATGATATGTAACAGAATCTCACACATGATATTGATGTAATTCTTGATATTTAATCAGCTGTCATTTCTTGTTATCAGTTCTATCTGTAAGCTTATTCAATACTTTCAAATTCTTCTTATAAATCTTACACTCTCATCTCTGTATTTAATGAACAGAAGATTGCATCTCAGTTTATACTTTAAAAGATATAAGTGATATTTCTTTCTTACATTCAAATATCTTTATTGATATTGAGAATGTATTAATTATCATAATCACAGCTTACATTGCTTTACTTCAAAGTTCTCTTTCTAATTCACTATTAAATAGTAGACTTTATATCTTTTCTATAACTATTTGATTCACATGTTTCACTGAGTTATTTAATTATGATATATCAGATGTAGTTATTTCATATATTTTTTCTTTACTCTGATAGTAGATCTTAAGTTCTTGACTTTTAAACTCTTCTTCATCATCTCAGTGTAGAGTTTCAACTTAATATTATATAGTTATCTTAATATCTGTAATAAAGTTTATTAATCTTACAGTAGATTCTTTCTTTCTTATTATAAGAATTACTCATCTATAACAGATTATATTATCTGTTATACTCAATCAGTAGCTTACACTCTCTCTAGTGAAAGTGTTATTTCTATTGAAAAGTGTTTTTTCACTCTCTGTCAGATTGATGAAGAATCTCATTATCAGCTTGATAGCTTATATTATAGATATGAAGATTAAATATGTCATTTTTATCTGAATACAGACTTTGCAGAATAATAAAGCTTATTAGTTAATAATTCTCATCTCTAGATATAAATCTACTATCATTTTTACAATATTTATAGAATTTAGATATTTTAGCTTTTAATATCATTACATTATTGTAAGTTCTATAATCTTTGTATCATTTCTTTCAGATAGTGCTAATATTATGTTATCTTTCATTCATAATATATTCACAGGTTCAAAATCATCATTGAGTATAGCAAATCAGATCAAGTCTCTGTATATAACTGATCTTTTCATCTTATAGATATCATTCTCATTTAATCTTGCTGTAAATGAGAATATATAATTGAGAGATATAATTAACATAGTATGATTATTCTCATATATCAACTGCTTATAGGTATAACTCTGATGTATAAGCTTACTCATACTTATGAGATTGACTTCTAACTTCAGAACATAGTGAATATTATTTAACAGCATATCTGTCTCTTTCACTGAAATCTTCATATCTTCTATAGCTGCAGCAGAGATCATCATTCTGTCTGTTATTTTCAATATTACTTTCACCTTCTGAGGTTTTATTATGACAAGATCTCTATGAGATGTGATATGAGTGCCTGATTCAGAGTCTAGAATTCAGATATCTTTTTCTATCTAGTCACTTGCATAGGTCTTTTTCTTGATGTAAAATACTTACTTCATAACATTGTGAACAGAAGCAGCATCTGTATTCTTCACATTCTTATCTTTATTCTTGTTTCTATTTGTATTGAAGTTTGAAGAATGTTTCTCAGAGTATTTCTTTCAACAGTCAGTCTGAATATGATTAATCTTTTGACAATGATAGCAGGTTCTCACATTATTATCTCTATATTCAGGTTTGAATTCAGTGTTCTTATTCTTGTTATTGTCTTTATTCTTGTCTTTCTTATCCTTATCTTGCACATTGTTGATAGAATTTCTAGATATATCAGTATTTACTTCATTTGCAGCAGAGAGCTGTAAAAGAATATCACAGTACAGGCTTATAAAATCATTCTCTAAGAGTTGAGTATTATCTTTGTCAATTTGATTCATTCAATTTCTTATGAATGAGA